TGTGTGTGTGTGTGTGTGTGTGTGTGTGTGTGTGTGTGTGTGTGTGTAAATGGACTATTACACATTTTGTCTTCTTGGTATTTCAGGTTTATGTGAATTGTACTGCAGGCTTGTAAGAATTAGCAAGAATATATTGATTTTTTTTTTTAAGTGATAATACTTGTGTCAAGTAGCCCCACCCACCAAAGGAAAGGATCTCTAGATTTCAGGTACCCAAAACATTGATTTTTGTCTTCATTTCAGTCCTCTGAATTCCTGTTTCAAATTTGATGTTGCTACATCACCTTTTCTGCAGCTGTGGAGATGGCTCAGTTTGTAAACTGCTTGCTAGTTCAAGCCTGAGGACTTTCCTTTGATTCTAGTGTTTATGTAACTGCCTCATCTGGCATCGCACACTTACAGTTCCAGGGCTTGGCAGGTGCAGATGGGAATCCCAAGGGTTTGCTGGCCATCCAGTCCAGTTGAATCTCAGAAGCAGAAGTAGTTGTTTTACTCTTAACCTTTTTTCCTGCCACCCACTTCATGGGCCAATGAGAATGGCTTCATGATCCTGTCTATGGCAATAGAAAAGAGATTATTTCTCAGGCTTCAGATTTCATAGTACGTCTCAGCACAGGCTGAAAGTGGCCTGGCCCTTGTTGCATGTGCAGATTCAAGCGCAGTGTCGAGAGCCAGGCATACTAGATCCTGAAACCCAGCTCCCATGTCCATGCTTTCCATGGCTCAGGCAGCTACTCACTGAACAGTGTTACTGAGATTCGATGAATGTGTGCTTTTAAAGCTCTTACAATGCTGGACATAGTAGCATATGTTTCATGCATTAGATTTCTGGGTCATCATAACAAGTTTATCACACATTTGCTGTGACTTAAAACAATAGAAAATTGGGCTCAATTAGTAGAGGGCTCACTGAATGTGTATGAAGACTTTAATTCCCAACACTATATAAAACCAACCATCAAAACACATATTAAAAACCCACATTTGTAATCTCGGCACTCAAAAAGTAGAATCAGTTTAAGCTCAGCTACAAAGAGAACGTGAGGCTATCCTGGAATACATATGAGACCCTGTCTCTAAAAAGTAGAAATTTATTCTCACACTCTGAAGATTGGGTCTTTGGCACCCACCCTTGCCATGAGGGATCTGAGTGAAGCTGTCTAAGTTCCAGTGGTTACTTGGTGTTCCTCTGCTTGCAGCACTCTTTCTATCCCACTGTCTTCCTGTGCTCCTTCTCAGATATTTGTTACTGGATTTAGGACCTCTCAGGGGATCTGATGATCTCCTCTCACTCAGTCCACAGTCACACCTGCATTTTGAGCCAGACTACTACACACTGAATATCAACCCAACACTTGAAAAGAGTTTTTGAACTTTTTTAGTTCTCCAGATGTGAATTTTTAGACATTTCTAGGAGCTGGAGAGGTGGTTCAGTGATTAAGAACCCTGACCGATCTTCCAGAAAGGACCCAGGTTCAATTCCCATCACCCACATGGAGTTCGCAACTGTCTGTATAACTCCAGTTTCAGGGAATCTGTTATCCTCACACACAGACATATGCAGGCAAAACACCAATGCACATAAAAGAAAAATAAAAAAAAGTTATAAAGACAATTTCCAATATAATTTTTTATTTCAAAATTGGGAGTTATTAATGTTCCCCTGGTAAAAGGTGCTTAGTCAGTTCTTTAAAGAGACGGAAGGCAGGAGGGCTGGTGGTGCTGCTCACTTGCAGTCGCAGCACTCGGCTCAGCAGGCAGGTCTCTGAGCTCAAGGCCAGGCATTCTGTCTAGTCAGTTCTAAGCCGCCTGGGATTATAGAGTGAGACCCTATCTCAAATCAACGAACACATAGATAAATAGAAATGTTACAGATGTGATAGAATGAGGACTTTCTTATATAAAGTGTTTCGTTTGGACAGAGCATTACTTGAGAAGAGAACTGGGCCGTGAGTTAGATGGCTTGAGTTTATTTTATGATTTCCCCTGCTTTGTCCATAAAGAAAGCTTTGAAGCCATGCATAGTGGCATATAGCTATGATTCCATCGCTCAAGTTGAGTCCGGAGGATTACCACAAGTTCAAGGCTAGCCTGAAGTACATAGCTCCAGGCCAACCTGGACTGTAGACCGTGTAAAATACAAATTGATTTGGGACTTTTCTGAGCTTTATTTTACTCCCCTATATGATAATAATATTGTGGGCCAGAGAGGTGGCTCAGTGGTTAAGAGCATTGACTGTTCTTCTAGAGAATTCCCAGCAACCACATGGTGCCTCACAACCATCTACAATGGAATCTGATGCCCCCTTCTGGTGTGTCTGAAGATGGTGTACACACATATATTAAAAAAAATAAATTTAAAAAAAAGTTAAAAATACTGACTTTTAGTCCTTGTTTGCTTTGTGTTGTAATAAAACACCATGAACAAAAGCAACATGAGGAGAAAAGGTTTGCCCCTCGTAATCCTAGTTGACACTGAGGGAAGTCAGGACAGGGCTGGAGCATTGTTTCCTGCCTTGCTCTCCCATTGCTTTCGTCTGTGACTACCTACCCAGGGGTGAAACTGCCCATCGTGTGTTGAGCCCTCCTACATTAGTCATTAATCAAATAAATACTCCACAGAAATATCCTAGGCCAAAACAATGGAGGCAGTTCCTCAGCTGAGGGTCTCGTGTTTGTGTCAAGTTTACTAACCCAGCACAGACTGCCTCTCACAAGCATGTTAGAGGAACTACTGACAAATCAGGCACTTATTTTAAAAGAATAAAATAGTGCCAAATCATAACAAAACCATGTAGTTAAGAAGGAGAACCATTCAGGTTTATTCTGTATAGTCTTGGGGAACCAAGTAACTTGCCTTAAAACATATCTGCAGAAGAGATGAAGAAGAAGGGAGGTCATGGTCTCTCTTGTGTGCTTTGCCCTTTGGGGGTGGGGTGTTCTTTTGGCTCTTGACTGGGTCCATGGACTCAACAGACCTTACTTTAGTTTCACATCCTGATTTGAAACTAAACAGTGAAATGAACCTGTACAGTTGTGTGTTATGTCATTACCTCATGATGGGCTCTGTTTTCTTTCTGATGACGAGGCTCACAGACTCCTGTCATAGCCATACTTGGTAGAAGAGGCAGCATGAAGATGGATAGGGATTGTATTAGTTTTCCTTAATCATGTGACCAGAAGTGTTCCTGTATCTCCAAGCTAGAGTTTTGTACTTTTGAGTTTAAAAGTGAGCTTTCTACCTGCCTCTGTGACTGTTTGCATACTACAGTGACAAAGTTGAATCAATGCAACATCACTCCGTAACAGGGTCTAAATACTTACTCTGTCTTCAAAGAAGAATGTATCAGTATGCAAGCAAATCAGAGACATTATTCTGTCTCCCATCATTAGTGTAAAGACACTGGGAAGAGATGAAGTTGTGTCATTTATGCTGTTCTCGCACCTGTGATTCTACCAGGCCAGTGCTTCACGTATTCCCTAGGGGATCCCCTGGGTCAGGGAGAGGTAGGACTTTGGAATTCCAAGTAGAACTTTTACAGTGGTGGTTTTAGTGCACCGATTCCCTTTGAAAGTCCTTTCTATCTATAGTCTGCGTCTGGCATTGGATGTGACGTGATTTGATAAGTCACTGCTCATTTAGAGTAACCAGAGTGAAACTGTTCTTTGTCTGATGCTTTCTCAAAACTACTCGTGTTTGTTGTTGCTTGCTTGCTTTTTTTAGATAGACTCATGTATTTTAGATTGGCTTCATACCCACTCTGTCTAGCCAGTGGTGACTTTGAAATCTTAGTTTTACCTCCCAGATCCTACAATTATAAGCATATACCACAACACTATTTACGTGGCACTGGAGATTGAGCTCACTAACTCTTACATATTAGCGAAGCGTTCTTACCAGTTGTATTTGTGTACCAATTGAGCCATGACCTCAGCCCTGTAATTCAGTCTTAATAGCAACTGCCTTTCCTATACTAAAGTTGAAAAGTCAGTCAGTGAACTTTCCTCAGTTAAGTGTTCCACAAGAAACAAATAAAAAGCTAATCTTCAGGCCAGTGAGATAGTGAGGGTGCCTGCCCTCAAGTGTGGCTTTCTACATTCAGTCCTCAGAGCTCACACACATAACTTGTTCCTACAAGTTCTCCTGTAGCCTCCATACTTGTACCATGACATGTTTGTGTGCATATATCCACATACTAAATAAATCCTTGTCTGTATTCTACAATCATGGACATTGAGTGGTTCCTACCCACCCCCAGTGCATGTATACTTACAATACTTTAAATCTCTTTCCACAGGTCAAATGCCAGGCCCTGGCTCCATGATGCCTGGGCAGCCCATGCCAGGTCGCATGATTCCCACTGTGGCAGCCAACATTCACCCTACTGGGAGTGGCCCTACCCCTCCCGGTATGCCTCCAATGCCCGGAAACATCTTAGGACCCCGGGTACCCCTCACAGCACCAAATGGCATGTGTAAGTAGCACAGTGGGAAGACATTCCCCTAGCATCCTGCTTTGGAAGCTACAGATAAGGAAGAAATGCTTTCTTCTCTTCACGAGATATAGCAAGCCCATAGACAGTCTAGCCTGCAATAGTAAGTTGTGGGAGATGACATTTTGGTGTGAAACTCAGGCTGTATATTCAGTACTGCGGTCTGTGGGTAAACCACTGGTTTCTGTCACTAATGATTAAACCTGACTAGTTTGAATCTCAGTTGACATGCATAGTTCTTGGCTGTTATTTCCCCTACAAGAACTTTTATGCTATAGAGTTAAAAGTGGTAAGTAGGGAAAAAAAGAAATTGGACCAGACCTAGTCCAAGTAAAGGGTGCACTCCTTTAATCTCAGTACTCAGGAGCAGAGACGGGTGTGAGGCTGTCCTGGTGTATATACATGGAGCTCTAGGCCAGCCAAGGCTACATAGTAAGACCCTCTCTTTTAAAAAAGAAAGAAAGAAGGAAATTGGTTTAAAGACAGGAGTAAGCTCTTTTAGCTTCTCTTGATACTTTGGTAGTCCCTGCATAGACTTGAAGTCAGATGGTTTAGGAACTGTAAAGAAAGAATATCGGGTAGAGAGGTGCTAGTGAAATGCAGTACCATCCCTCTGAGCTTGTGTTCAGAGCCCAGGTCATTTCTTCCATAAGCCTACTCCTACCCCAGCCAGAGCTTTGGCCTCCACAGGGTTACATCAGAGGCTATGATCTGCCTCCAACTGGGTAGATATGCTCAGTAAAAAGAATCCAGCCATAATCTCTGATTCCTTAAGAAGTTCATGTATGTGGCCAGAAATTAGCTCCTATTCACAAAACAGAATAAATAACCAGAATCCTTAGTCTGCTGGGCAGTGATGGCTCACACGCTAGCATTCAGGAGGGAGAGGCAGGCAGATCTCTGAGTTTAAGGCCAGCCTGTTCTACAGAGCAAATTCCAGGGTAACCAGTGCTACACAGAGAATCTCTGTCTCAGAAAAGAAAAAGGGGAGGAAAAACATAATCCTTGGCTGCCAGTATGAGCTTTAATTTGAATGAATGAATGAATGAATGAATGAATGAATGAATGAATGAATGAATGAAAACATTAATAGGACTGGTCATCTCTACTGTGACTTCCTGCTGTAATGGACTGAGTTCTAGAGCAATGAACCAAAATAAACCCATTTAAAAAAAAAAGTAATAATAAGTTGGATAAACTTTAGTAAAAGCTACAAGCTCTGACTGGTGGGATGTCTCAGTAGGTCAAGGCTCTTGCATCCAAACCTGATCGCATGAGTGTGATCCCTGGGGATCCCCATGTTGGAGGAGAGAACTGACTCCTATAGGTTGTCTTCTAACTTTAACACATTCTCTGGCACCAGCACACCCATGCACATACACACACGGAACAGCTACAATAGGGAACTTCAAAATCCTTGGACTTCACTGTAATGCTCCAGGAGACTTCTTGCGGGGAAGGTAGCTTCATGCAGAGAGGCATGTGAATCCTAGAGGCTGAGACGATGTTAGATATACAGAAGAAAGTCTTGGGTTAACTGAATTTATAGAATCTGGCCCATATGAAAAATTATTTCCCTTGGGCTTATGGTCATAGTAGAGTGGGTAACAAAATGCTTCCCAAGTCACCTCCCAGTCAAGAAAGAACTGGCCTTCAAGAGAGCAGACCAGGTCGCCGTCTCTTGTCATCAGGTCATGTCAGTGGACTTGATCACTGTCTGCTTGGTTTTGGGCGTTAGGATTCTTCTATTGTGAAGGGTCCTCAAAGGAGTACCTTGGGAATACATGTGGAGTACATCTGCAAAGGGGGCGTCTTTAGAGAATCTGGGCTTTGGACTTGGCTCCTGGACTCTAGACTTGGTGTCTTCTACTCAGAGATCACAAAGGGATGAGATGATAGGATTCAGAATGCTTTCAAAAGTTGTAGAGGTTTGATAGAAACCTCTTGCGAATATAGACGGGTGAATTCCTGATTAGTGTAGCTGTGCTTTAATTATTTGTTTGATATATTTTCATTTCTGGCAAGATCTAGAGGTTTTAACATCTTGGATTAAATGATCTCTGGGGTTCTTTTGTACACGAAAGTGGCTAGAGTTGAAATAGAAAAGAACCCCAGACACTCAGGCTAATTGTTCCCTTCAGGACCTGACCTAGTTTGAGCCAGAAATCCAAGGATGGCGGTTGAAGGCCTCCTAAGCATATCCAACTTGTCAGCAGCTGCCTCCGTGAGGTTCTGTGACTCTGGTAGAAACAGTTAATCAGCAAGAAGTTATTGATATCTTTCCTGTGCCCAGCTAGGATAGACACCATGGAATAAAGAAAGAGAAATACAGAACTAGCCCACTAGCCCATGAAGGCTCTGATTATTTATTTAATGAAGAAACACAGTTAGTAGAGAGAACAATTAGAATACAATAAAGTGGAAGTATAATTATTAAGTTCTTAAAAAAAATCGTCTAGGCCGGGCGGTGGTGGCGCACGCCTTTAATCCCAGCACTCAGGAGGCAGAGGCAGGCGGATTTCTGAGTTCGAGGCCAGCCTGGTCTACAGAGTGAGTTCCAGGACAGCCCGGGCTATACAGAGAAACCCTGTCTCGAAAAACCAAAAAAAAAAAAAAATCGTCTAGATTGACTGTTGAAATGAGTGGTCCTTGGAGAAGGGTGGGTGAATTTCAACACTTCCCTCCTACCTCTTAGGTTAGGGTAAGCAACTTGAGCAGCAGTTGGCTTCTGTGCACTTGACCTCAGGTAGCAAGCCTAAGAACCAGTATTGCTTGCCTACTGCCAACAAAGTTACTTCCTGAGGATGGTGGACTGTCTTTAATACTAGCAAAATGGCTGAGGCAGGGAGATCTCTGAATTTGAAACTAGTCTAGTCTACACAGCAAGTTTCAGACCAGCCTAGGCTTCATCGCAAAATCTTGTCCCAAAAAAAGGAAAAAAATCCTTTCTGTTACTTTCTATTGAATGGACTTTCCCAACCCTCCCTGTGTTTCCAGCAATGACGAGTTACCTTGAATGTGTTTGCAGATCCTCCTCCACCACAGCAGCCGCCGCCTCCACCTGCAGATGGGGTCCCTCCACCTCCTGCTCCAGGCCCACCAGCCTCGGCCACTCCCTAGCCTGGAAGACACAGGGAGCCTCCACAGCCACCACAAACTGAAATGGGGATGGCAAGACTTGTGTCTCAGCTTCCTTGGTTTTCTTGCAGAATTTTTTTTTTTTTCACAACCCCAAGCACAAGTCCCATGTCTCTCCACTCCCTGATACTTCCTGTGTCAGGTCCTTAGTTGATACTCAATGGAAAGCCTGTGGTGACTAGTGTGATCTGGTCACTTAAAAAGTACCATGTGTCTCCCCTGTCCCAGTGTGACAGATGTTGGCAGTTGGTTTCCGGGTCCTGTTGACATTAGTATTCTTGTCTGTCTCTCTCTGTCTCTCTGTCTCTCTCTCTCTCTCTCTCTCTCTCTCTCTCTCTCTCTCTCTCTCT